TTGTATCTATTATGAATTGTGATCGGCAAAAATTTTCAATAGTCACGTTACACGAATCGAAAGTCCACTATGCTGTCTGTCCTACCAAAAAAAAAACCAATAGGATAAATAATTAGTGTGTGCACATCGATCAAATAACAAACTTTATAAAAAAAAGAAAATGTCTGCTGTTCCAGAAAAGAAAAAAAGAAAAAGCAAAGAAGAAGATGCTAAAAAAATTTATGGGTAAGTGTTTTAAGAATGGTGGTGGTGGTGGTTATCGCCTGCCACTTGTCATCACTCTAGTTGTTGAATTATAATCCATCGTCATTCTAGTTGATTAACAAAATTTTAATCTTTTTTTAGAGCACAAATACCACCAACTATTACTCTCAAAGCTAGTACTCTTTAATAATCTTGAAAATTTCTTTTTTTTAACATATTTTCGATTAATTTTATGTCTTTACTACTTTTTTAAATTCTTACAATATTACTGCATTCAAACTTTTCTTCCCAATGTCATCACTCCAACCACTATGCATCAATTGCACAGGATCACAATAATCTCGAATGTAATATCAATGATGATGGTGAAAAATCAGATTGCGAGGAACTTATGCCTTCAAATGTTTGTTATCTTTGATTATAAACTCTGTGTAGATATGTTAGCATTACGTAATATCGATTATTGAGAAATTTTTGACAGGTAAATGATAATTGGATAACAAGAAAATTAAGAAGGATTGAGAAAGGTATTGCAAGATACGGTATAATTTATTTACCAGAATGCAACAAAAAAAATGAATTGAAATCCGCGTTTAGTAATAATGAGTGGTCAGTACTTGAGAAATGTTTCTATAAGGTAATGAAGATTTTTTAATGTTAGTATAGTGCAGAATTTATCCATAAATTTGTGATATCTAAAGTTATATTTTGTGCATAATATAAAACTTTAGAAAGAGAAAGAAATCGCAAAAAAAGTCTTCCCGTTACTTAATAAAGTAGAAACCATTCTAGGTAGATATCAAGAAGGAATAAAAAATGCAGAAGATAATGGACAAATAGATTTGGACACAATTAATGTTATTTACGATTATCCAAATGGATATAAATTTAGGAAGAATTGGCTTGAAAAATGGGTAGATAATATCTATCAGAAATTGTAAGTTCTTGTCATTTACCATCTAGCTTGTAATTTTAAATTATTATATTTATATTTATTCTAAATTTTGTTTGAAAGCTTGACATGCTTTCATCTACCTAGAAATGTTCTTAATGATAGATTTGTGAGTGAGTACCAGTATAGAGATTGGATTGTAAACACTTTATGCAAAGATCTTTTTCTAGACTCAACAATAATAAGAATGGCAACGTAAATATTAATATTATACACACATATATAAATTACTTCTAGTATAATACTAATACTAACATTATAGCATTATGTATTTTCATTAGCGGTGAAGTAGAAAACAAGCATCGAAAAACCCAACTAGATCTGTCAAAGAACCCTGATGAACGCAAATCAAGAGGTTGGTGCCATGACGGGATACTAAATCTAGATATTAATGGAGTAGAAACATATGTAGGAATTTTAGAAGTTGTTGGAAACGCTGTCATTAAAGATAATCATAAGCTTTTAGGAGATTGGCAGAAGTTGTTAAAAGCAATGCGTTTGGCCTTCCATGAACTTCATAAAGTCTTATATAATGATGGAGTCATTGATGAAAATATCTTTGAAATTTTAGAGGTATACGGAATATTGGTGCATAGCAGGGTTGGCAAATTGACTGGTCCATTGAGAACAGATGGATTTTGGACTGGTCCATTGCCATTAATAAAATACTAAATATAGTTAAAGTGTTACACTAATGGACCCAATGGACCACCAATAGACCATCAATGGACTGCACATTTGCCAACCCTGGTGCATAGTAAGTAAAATGTTTTTGTGTGATTGTTGTTATTGAATAACTCTTTCTGTTTAATAACTCTTTCTATTTTCTTTTTTTTTTTTTTTTTTTAGGAAAAGATTTCTGTTTCTATGCCATGCACCATCATGATGGAATATATTTAATAGATGAAATAAATGTTTCTTTTCAATACCTGATTCTGTAACAAATATATATATGCTAAATGAGATAATAGAAAAATTGTTAATATTTAGAGTAAGTTGTTAATTGGTAACATTATCTTTAACAGACATTTCCTAACCAAGATCTTTCATGGGCAGGCTCGTGTTGATAATTTAAACACACAAATAAAAAAATTTTCAAGAAATAAAAGGATGTGAAGACCATGACGAGCAACAACTGCTGTTGACGCAACACCATGAAGAAGTTTCAAGTTTCACGATTACTAAGTTTCATAATATTTATGTATCAAATATTACATTATCGAATTGTTATTTATCATCTTTAATCAAAGCCAATGGAGATTATACTATGCAAATGCTTTAAAAATAATAAAATTTATTTTATTATTAGTTGATTTAAAAACTAATAAACAATAATTTAATGATCCCGTATTGAACAAGTTGTTAATATTAATACAGTCAGGGATATTACCATAAAAGGAATTTTATTCTAGAATGATCTACATGTCCTTTTGCAAGAAAAATAGTGACATTTTTTGTAAGGCCCAAGGGGTGATAATATGACATAATTATAAAATATAATATTACTAATATAATTTGACTTTCTTAAACATATACTTTAATAATCCACCTTCATCCACAAAGGTTTGCACACTAGTTTTTTTTTTCAATAAGAGGCATATTTTGGCTTGAATTTTCAATTTATTATTATTATTTTTTTTTTTTTTTTTTTTGAAATTACTTGAATATTTCAATTCTTCTATCTTACTAGAATGTCAAATACAAGAAAACCAGCTGAAAGAGTAAATAAATTAGCTAAGTATTTTCCTGAACTATCTTTATTAACTGGTTTTTTAGAAGATTATTCATTACGTGAAAAGCATTATAATCAGATAGTTGTTACTGATATTTTTGTAAGAATTTTTTTATGTAGATCGATCAGCTCAAAGGAACAAAAGTTTTAGAGAAGATAATACAGAAGATAACATTACTGATGATGAGTCTAATCTTTTGGAAGAACTTCAAAGAGCAAAAGACATGCTGACGACAAGTGAATTAGAATGTCAATAACAATCAAGAATTATTATTAATCTTGATAATAAATACAACTGCAATAGCAATTAGAAGAACGTCAACAGCAATTAAAAGAACACCAACAATAATCACAACTTATCATTGATCTTAATAACAAGATATGAACAGGTAAGCTTTAATATTATTTGTTGATTACAATAAATGGATTTATTGGACTTAATGTTAATATTTTATAAGAATTGTATAATAGATTTTATTATCTGCAAGCTATTATCAATTATAGAACATATTGTATAAGTATTCTACAACAAAAGTACAACTTATATATCTAAGCCTATTCCAATAACCAAAGAAAAGGCAATCACCCAGGAAGATGAATTAAAAATGACAAAACGAGAACTTATAATCAAGTTAGAATCTCTCTTTGAACCAATGGACAAAAATTATCAATGAAATATCATGGATTTAGGTCAAAAAACAAAGATGATTTGTTGGTTATATTACAAGAGGTAAGATGTTTATTTAATGAAGGAAATGAAATTGATGATTCTGATTCTGTAGAAAGTTCAAATTAAAAGGCAAGAAGATATAATAAAATAAGGAAGGATATATAATTTTATTTTTTTATAGATACTAAGATCTAAATTTATCTATTATTAAATATATTAATGAATAAATGTTATAAATATATTAATAAATATATAAATATCATATTTTGTGTATATAATTTTGTTTGTATTATTTTTTGAAGGATAATCTTCTAGAAAATTCTGATCCTATAAAAGGTGTGATCTACTACAATCTATTTATGGTAATATCCCTGACTGTAATATGGGATAAGGTATCATTTGAATGCAATGCAATGAAAACTTGCTATCATGTCTTGTTGTATTTATAAGAAATCCATGATCAATTTTAATTGTGTTATCATACCCATCATACCATGGTTTTTTATTTAAAATTTGACCAACTGTATCATGATTATTATTTAAATTTGGCATTTGGTTAGTAAAGATGTCAATTAACTTGGCAATGCTTTTGGCTTTAACTTCCATTCTAGAAAAAACGGGAGAAAAATAGTTTCAACCTTTTGCTTTTTTCTTTCATCTTCTCAAAAACATCATTCAAAATTTGTTTGATATTTTGCTTGTCTTGATTTTCATTGATATAATCTCAATGGGTTTCTTCAGGTAAATAAAGGGCATTATGGGAAATATACCAATTTCTTAAATAATCTTCATCTTGAGCAAGTTGTTCAGGAAAGTTTTTCTTCTCTTCTTCAAATTCTTGTTTTAATTTGTTAGATTTATCTGTAATATATTTGAGAAAAATTAGATTCAGACAAATTTCTGCACAAATATGAGTTCCACCAAGTCCTACTCTCAACTTTATGGCACTTTCCCAAAGGCTTTGTTTTACTTTTTTTAACTCTTCCCTACTCATACTGTAATTTTATCTTTTTCTGAAAAATAAAAAAGATTATATTATGCATATCACCAACCCTAGTTTTTTCATGGTTAGCACTATAAATTAGCACAAAAATTACTTGGCAAAATGCTGGTTAGAAAAAACAACAATCAAACTATCAAATTTAAAATTGTGGAAACCAAAGCTTACAATGGAAATATCAACCGAGCTTGCCATGCTCATCAAGAAAATAAATCATTTTGAAAGGCTGCCACCTTAAATAACCATGGTGGTTGTGCCTATGTTTGTCTTATTTATGGAATGTATTACTGTTTTAATACTGCTTCTTCAACCAAAGGGGATCCACAAGGAGTGTTAATTCATGCTGTCGAACCCCTTGGTCACCATACTATTCCAGTTACTTCTCTTCACAACGAAAAAAAGAAATTTCATTACTACACTAATGGTCCCGGCAAACTATGTCGAGCATTGAATATTGATATAAGTCTTAATAATACCAATCTAACCACTAGTGGTTTAATTTAAATAGAAGATCAACCCGAACCCAGCCAAGACAAGATTGTTGCTACTAAGAGAATAAATATTGATTATGCTGGAGCAGACAAAGATCACTTATGGAGATTGTAAACGTTCAAATAATTATCACTTAATTATTTAAACAATGTTAATGAACAGGTAATTTAATTGTTGTTAAATTAAAAGTTATCTTTATTTAATTCGAAATTTGATTCTTTAAATAATAAAAATACAATTCTTAAAGTATAAATATAAATCATAAGAAAATAAATAAATATATAATCTATATATTGTATGGAAGCTTATAGACTTCCCGGAAAGTATGATCATAATTTAAGATAACTTTCTTTGGTTAAATAATAATATAAATATGATAATAATATAATTATATTCCCCACAATATAATATAACAATATAATATCCACTTTCCTTAATAAAAATAATAATGATAATAAATAATAATATCCCGATTGCTAAGTATTTTTAACTAACGCGAATAATAAAAAAAATGAATTCCTCTATTACCAAATATGGTAATAAAATTAATTGCCATTTGTGTGACGAGGATTGTTACAGAGATTCTATATTAAGGATAACCCTTTTGTTTCCCAAAAATAATTGCAAATAAAAAATTTCTTAATATGGGTTTATCATTCATTTTTTTGCTGTTCTTGATTATTGCTATTCTTTTTAAAAACATAAAAAAATCCCAGCGGTAGTCTGAATATTAAACTAATAACAAACAAGAGAATTCAAAAATTTCCTCAAATCTTTTCATTGAACTTTCCTTTTTCTTGTAAGTTTTGAATTGACTGCTGAAGTTCTTTTAATTTATCTTCTAAATTGTTGCCGGGCTTATCTTTCTTTTCTCCATGATCAATATTAGGGAAATCCTGCGGAATAATCTGATCAATTTGTTTGGAATTAATGATTATCTTACTTTCCACTTCCCCTTTTTTGGCATCTCTAGTCCACTGTAAAATGCAATAGTTGAAAATATCATCAAAGGCTATTTTTAACTGACGAACACCTTTTTCATTGGTTTTTATATAGTATTTTACTTTGCGTAATCATAACAATAATATTATAAATATGGTGCGAATCATCTAAAGGCATCACGTGCTGCACCACTTGCCAAAAATTTTTATGCTGATCTTGCTTTATAAAGAATCCAATATATAAAAATAAATCCAAATTTGTAAAAGATCTGTGAC